TAATTATATATAATGACAAAAATGGACATAGTAGTATGAGTGAGGGTGACGACAGCAGTGGTGGGGACAGTGGTAATGGTGGTGGTTGCAATGGCGGTGCAGTTGCGGTTGTGGTGATGGTATTGGTGGTGGAGGTGGCGGTTATGATGGTGGTGACAATGGTGGTAGTAGCAGTTGTGGTTGTGGTAATAGTGGTGGCGGTTGTGGTTATGGCGGTGATGGCGGCGTAGTGGTGACAATGGTGGTAGTGACGGTTGTTGTGGTCACAGTAGTGGAGGTTGTGGTTATGGTGGCGGCGGTGGCAACAGTGATGGTCGGGGGTGGTAGTGGTCACTTTATTATCTAAGAGATAAAATGTGTGTAGAAGGGTAAATATGTCATTTCAAAAAATTAAATAAGGTATTACAACATTGAAAATATTTATTAAAGGGTCTACTTAATTTTTCATTAAAACAACTTTTAAAAGCAACCTACACACTGCTTTTAAAAACTGTTATTTGAAGACCATTGCTTTTAAAATAAGTAAGATATTTTACTTATGACGTGACATACATTTGGTATGTCTTTTGATCCTAATTTGAGGATGTACCAACCCACTAGGACATTCGCGGACATTGGCAGCAGGTATGTTGTCCCTAATTTCATGGCTCCTTCGTGACTCTTTTTTAGTTTTTTTACACATATTCTTCGACTTAACTTTGAATTTAACACTATTAAGTTTTTATATAATTAAATAATACAATAAAACTGAAAATTTAACAAACAAACAAAAAACAACAGCAACCTCCGGAACAACCCTAGCCCCGCAGCAACCAAAACCAATTTTTCCCACCATTCAAGTCGGCTGCAATTGCTCACCGCCGGCGAAGCTCATTTTTTTATCGTTTTATCTCTATCTTCTTCTCTACAGATATCCTCCGACGAAGCATTGATTAGATATCCTCTTTTGCATCTCAAATACCAAATTTGGATAAAATATATGTTCCTTGACGTGTTGAATTGATCACGATCTAGTGCGGAACTTGGAGAGAGAGAGCGAAAGGAAGCTTTGCCGGAAGTAAGGAGGAGCGACGGCGGTGATGGGTTTGTGTCGTGCTTAGGGATGGGCAACGGTTATGGTGAACCGGTAACCGCGGTATTTACTTATAACCGTTTATGTTTATACTCGCTTAATCGTTTACCCGTTGGGTAATTGCATAAACGATTATATTCATACCCATAACCGTTTATAAACGGTTAACCATACCCATAATCGTTTACCCATTTAACCATAACCATTTACTCGTTTATCCTTTTTTACCCATTTACCCATTTTTCACTCGTCTACATGTTTTTTTTTTTAACAACTTGAAAATTATAAAAGAAAAATTTATCATAATTTTCGTTTTTTGACAATTAAACACTATTATAGATATATTTTAGCATGCATTTTCATATTTTAATCATTTAAATTCTCATACAATTTCAATACGAACGATATTTTAAATTTTAACTACTGTATCTGTATGTGATGCCTTTGCAAAGTGGCGGGGAAGTTCCATCCATGCAAAGAACTCCGAATGGTTTGGTGCGTCGGCGCAAGATGTTTGGCTTCAAAATGGCCTTCTAGGTTTTAAGCATCATGAATTCATGGAAGAGTACCAGTGTCCTTTGCAGTCGCCAAGAACCCTGTTATTTGAGCTGTATAGATTTGCATGGAAGAGACACTTCAATCGGGGCAAAGATTTCAGCAGGAGATTGAAAATTTAGGGTTTTTAATTTTTAATTTTTAATTTTACATAATTAAATTAAATGGGTAAATGGATAACCGTTATAATCGCAGGTAATACCTATAACCGTCCATTTAAATTTCATGGATAAACAGTTATACTCATAACCGTTATAACCGTTTGTTCGTCTAAAAGATTACTCATAACCGTAACCATGAACTTTAAATAGACGGGTAACCATGGTTATCCAAACCCATTGGTATTTTACCCATCCCTATAGTGCTCGGGAATTTTATTTCACTATTGGTTTTTGTAAATATTTAAGTTTTTAAAGTTATAAATAAGGATTTATGAAAGTTTAATAAAAAGTTGAAAACCTATTAGATATTTAGGAACAAAATTGCAAGATAGGAGGTGGGGATTCTCATTTCTTCTTAGGATTTTTTTTTTCTTCAACCAGTGTGTTCCGGATTACAAAATATTTTGATATTTCATAGGAGATGTATCACAATTTGCATTGTGGTGTTTTCAAATTTTTTTTTTTTAGTAATGCTACATATACCACATTTTGTATACTATATTTGAATCACCTCATTTTTATAGAATTGATATCCACCAATCCAAGTAGGTCCGATCTCTATTTAAAAAATAGTACAAATGTGATATACAACATGTGATAAAGTGTAGCATGTTTGTTTCACTTTTGATTGTCGAGTGGTTGATAGTTTTTTTGACAAGCAACGATATTTGATATTTCATTAATTATCCCCAAGATTCTAAAAGACACTTGGCGCTAGTCGGGTGGCGAGCTATGGCCTAGTGCCTAGACGGCTAGGCGGAGCCTAGACGGACTAGGCGAATTTAAATAAATCTATTATATTTCGTGTAAATAAGTGTCTGTTTATACTATTTATAATTTCATCATAAACTACAAAATAGAATGACTTATATATTATGAAGTATTGGAATATAATGAAAACATGAGGAATAAGGATATATTGTGTGTTCATTTACGTATGCAACAAGTCTCTTACAATTTATGAAGAAAAAAAATGCAAAATGAAAGTTATCTATTTTTTGTCTAAGTGAATTGCGATCTAAGTGGGTGCCTAGATGGGTCTGGATGGGTGCCTAGGCGGTCTAGGTGAACGCCTCAACAACTCTAGGCGCCCTTAATTAATTTTCAAATGTCTAAGCATTAATCAGGACGGTGGCCAATTGGGTACAATATTCTAGTAACCAAGAAAATGAAATGGAGGTGAATTTGCACAAACAAAACAACAATAGTAAATCCCTAAACGGCTACCATATGTACGAAAACTTCACAAGCCACCCATACAAACCTATCACAAAATGATAGATATAACATATTTGTATTGGTGATTACAAACGCTCACCGCCGAATAACGAGGCCATATAATCATCGCAAGAACGAGACCACATAACTCAACGCTCAAAGCAAAAATCAAATACAGCCAGCGTTGCGGCATGGCCACAACGCTCGCTAGACGAGACAATAGAACTTAATTAGACAAGACTAAACTAAACTAAACTAAATTTAATTAACTACTCCGAGAAAGAAGACCAAAACATGACACAAAACAATGGAAGGATAAGATACTCAGGCAAAGACTACCAGCCGTGACTCTGGACAAATTGGGTATGCAACACCCACAGGTCAAACCGAGGGCGTAAACGTTGAAAACACAGGCGCTGAAGTTTCCAGATTTGAAGAACTTAAGCGGCGTGACCGCCAAAATAGAGCGGACTAGGCCATGTAAGAATGACTTATATGTGAGTGTCATTTAAACCACAGTGCAGATATACAAGTGAAAGGGTTGTATTATCTAAGGACTCAATTATATGAATTACACCGGATTAATTCTATATTAGAGGGAAAACTAAAGGTGGTTATCAATTCAAATAAAAGGCAGTTGTAACCTACACAAACTGACAACAACTGCATCTCTGATAGGGAGATACAGTTGCAGCATATAAAGTCGATTTTGGTCTCTCTTCTCGGGTACTACTTGTTCTCATATCGAATACCAGTCCTATTGAGAGTATTGAGATACTATTTCTGAATCCAAGAGAAGAGAAGACAAGATCATGGCTTCACTGTCTTCCACTCCAAGTAAATATACACATACTGCATTTAATATTGTCATGCATAGTTTTGATTATCATTTTAGGCACTGTCATATTGGTTTAGTTGTAATCGATCCTTATACATATACTTGTCTGCATGTGGTATCAGAGCCACACAACTGAAACCTCTTTTCGGATAAAGAATGGCTATATATTTTCCGTTGTGCATGACAGTGCTCAATTTTTGGTATCAGAATGCAATATTATATCAGTACATGAAATTCAAATTTTGTAAATTGCATTGTTTGTATCTCTGTTATTTCAATAAGTTATTAACTTGCTTCGTATCATGTCAACATACATATATATGTATATGCTTGATGATTTATGCAATAAAGGTCTGAATTGCAAATGAGCACACTAATGAATCATTACTTAACTGTAATTGATGTTGCATTCATGACAAAAGGAAACACTCTGAGATGAGTCTAGTATAACACTAAAGTGTAGGGCTCGATGATTTTCAGAACTTGAAGAATAATGCAGAAAGTGTGATTTATAAATATTAACAAGTAAAATGCTTCCAAAGGGGTGATTTTACTGGGTTCATTTGTATAATCAGTGTATAGTGAGTAATGGATTACAATCTATCTTTGTGCTCTAACTTGCCCAAAGGTACTGTTATAAGGATAGTTTTTGTAGTCCATGACTCGGCTATGCAATGTTTGGAACTTATTCATGTATATGGACAGTTTCTTGCCCAAAGGTGTGACTGAGTCTATAGTTTAAGTATGACAAGAAACTTCTGTAATTATTTCTTGGTCATAGATTTACAAAATTCTCCAAATTTGAAACAAGTTTCAATATGATGAGTTTGGTTAATGTAGAGAAATTGAATGGCAATAATTTCAAGGCATGGAAGCAGCCGATTGAAATGAATCTTGGTATGTTGGAGTTTAACATTGCATTCAAGGCTCCTCAACCTTCTGCATTGACAGATCAAAGTACTGCACAAGAAAGAGAATTCTTTGCGAGATGGGATAGGGCCAATCAAATGTCCTTACTTATCATGCAGAATTCAATGGAGGAACACATCAGGGGAGGAATTCCCAGCTGTGATTTGGCTAAGAATTACATGGACAGAGTTGAAGAGAAGTTTAAAAGGTCAGACAAGGCTGAAACTGGTGCATGTTTGTCAGCACTCATTAACACAAAACATGATGGTTCTGAAAGCATTCGTGAACATTTGTTAAAATTGGTCAACATTGCAAACAAGTTGAATGCAATGGATATTGGAATAACAGATCAATTTCTTGTGCACATGGCACTGTACTCTTTGTCCAATGATTATGAGCAACTGAAAGTGAGTTATAACACACAGAAGGAGATTTGGAGTATTAATGAGTTAATTGCTATTTGCTATCAAGAAGAGGAAAGACTGAAGAAGATGAGGGCTGAGACTAGTGAATTTGCCAACCTTGTAAGTGCTGGAAAATGCAAGGGGAAGATTACTACAGTTCACAGAAATGAGAATTACAAGGGAAAGAAGCCAATTGCATTCAAGAAGTATGTGCCAATTGCTGGAACAACTTCTGGTTCCAAGAAACAGTTCAAGTCCACTGTGATACCTGCAAAGGCTCATGCTACCTCCATTGCTTCTGGACCTAAGAATAATAACAATGGTGTCAAAAGATGTCATTTTTGTCATAATGAGGATCACTTAAGAAAGGATTGTCCTGGTTTTAAAGCTTGGTTAATCAAGAAAGGTAACAAAATAATAAATGTTTTTGTGACAGTAGAGTCAAATATGGTTTTTATTCCTCAAAATTCTTGGTGGTTTGACACAGGTTGTTCAATACATATAACAAATTCTTTGCAGGGATTTCAAAGCCAGAAGAGAACAAGTAAGGAGATCTACAATGTTTATGTTGGAAATGGGAATAAAGTTGCAGTTGAGTCTGTTGGTTCTGTCAAACTGAGATTGTCCACTGGTTATGTTTTAAATTTAAGTAATGTGCTTTATGTTCCTTCCATGAGAAGGAACTTATTTTCTGTAATTCAATTTGTCAAGGATGGTTTTTCATTTGTAGGGGATGTTAATCAAATTAAATTTTATTTCAAGAATCAGTTTGACAATCTTATTGGTTATGCATTTCCCAATGGTGATCTTTGGCAAGTTCAATGTTCTTACCATCAAGAATGTTTTAATATAGAACATTTAGCCTCAAAACGTGTGTCCTCTGATGACCAATCTTATATGCTTTGGCATCAAAGACTTGGTCATATCTCGAAAGAAAGGATAATGAGGTTAATCAAGGATGGTATTTTGCCGAAATTAAACCTTAATGAATCTGCATAATGTATTAACTGCATTAAGGGCAAAACCACAAACTCAACAAGCAAAAAGACAGCAACAAGAAGTAATGATCTCCTAGAGATTATACACACTGATGTATGTGGACAATTTCCAACAAAAACCATTTGTGGGAATTCATACTTTGGTCTTTTCATAGATGATTTTTCCAGATACACTTATATATTTTTGATCTTTGAAAAATCTCAAGTATTGACTTGTTTTAAAATTTTAAGTTAGAGGTTGAAAAACAATTGGGAAAATCAATTAAAGTTGTAAGGTCCGATCGTGGAGGTGAATATTATGGAAGGTACACAGAGAAAGGACAACAAAATGGACCATTTGCCCTTTTTCTGGAACAAGAAGGAATTGCAGCTCAATATACAACTCCTGGTACACCATCACAAAATGGTGTTGCAGAACGAAGAAACCGAACCTTGAAGGAGATGGTGAGGAGTATGCTTTCTCATTCACAAATGCCAGAATTTCTTTGGGGAGAAGCAATCAAAACAGCAACTTACATTTTAAATCGAGTACCAACTAAAGCTGTTGCATCCACACCATTCGAAAGATGGACAGGAAGAAAACCTAGTCTAGCTCACTTTCATACTTGGGGTTGTAGGTGTGAATCTAGACTCTATAATCCCAATGAAAAGAAATTAGACATGAGGACCACTAGTTGTTATTTTGTGGGTTATGCAGAAAAATCCAAAGGCTTCAGGTTTTACTGTCCTAATTCATTCACCAGAATAGTGGAGAGCAACAATGCCAAGTTTCTTGAAGATTGTGGAGCTTTACATTCCCATTCCAGGAATTCTTATGAATTTGAAGAGATAAATGATGCATCACAGACCATTGAACAAGCAAATACTAAGATTCTTATACTTGTGCCACTTGTAACTTCTCAGCCAAATAACATTACATCTTTACCTTTGTCGCCAACAAATGCAGTTCCAAATTCAGCGATTGTTGCTGATTCATTGCAGCCTACTACATCATTTCCCATTTCCATTTCATCTGAGCAGCCTACTGCATCCACTTCAGTTCCCGTGTTATCACCCCCTATGGTTCAACCAAGGAAATCCAGTAGGCTTAAGAGATCTGCCATTCCTAGTGATTACTTATGTTATTTGCAAGAAGTAGAGTTTGACATTGGTGATCATGATGATCCAACTACTTACAAAGCAGCTATGGAAAGTTCTAAGTCCTCAAGTTGGCAAGCTGCAATGGAAGATGAACTAGACTCTATGTACAAGAATAGTGTTTGGACTTTAGTTTTGCCTCCAGACAACGTAAAATCCATTGGTTGTAAATGGGTGTATAAAACCAAGAGGGATTCTCGGGGACAAATTGAGAGATACAAGGCAAGGTTAGTGGCAAAGGGTTTTACTCAAAATGAGGGTCTAGACTACAATGAAACTTTTTCTCCAGTTTCCACAAAAGATTCTTTTCGAGTGATCATGGCACTCACTGCACATTTCAATCTTGAATTACACCAGATGGATGTCAAAACAGCTTTTCTCAATGGTAGTCTTGATGAAGAAATATACATGCACCAGCCACTTGGATTCATTGAAAGGGGGAAGGAAGATATGGTTTGTAAGCTTAACAAGTCAATATATGGACTCAAACAGGCCTCTAGACAATGGTACAAAAGTTTGATCAAGTTGTAGCAGCTTTTGGCTTTGTGGAGAACAAAATTGACAATTGTATCTACTTCAAAATGGTGAAGTCTAATTTTATTTTTATGGTTCTTTATGTGGATGACATTTTACTTGCCAGTTCAAATGTTATTTTACTTGAAGAAACCAAAAATATGTTGTCAAGTAACTTTGACATGAAGGATTTAGGTGCAGCACACTATGTTTTAACATTAAGATTACTAGGGACAGATCCGAGAGATGGTTAGGGTTGTCACAGAAAGCTTATGTTGATAAGGTTCTCAAAAGGTTTAATATGGAGAATTGCAGTGGAGGAGATATACCACTTGGCAAGGGTGACAAATTGTCTTTATCTCAGTGCCCCATTACTGACTATGAAGTGCAGACAATGAAGGACAAGCCTTATGCTTATTTAATTGGCAGTGTGATGTATGCTCAAGTATGTACAAGGCCTGATTTGGCTTTTGTGTTAAGTTTTTTAGGAAGGTTTCAATCGAATCCAGGATTGGCTCACTGGAATGCAGGTAAGAAGGTATTAAGATACATGAAAAGAACTCAGTCATATGTGTTGTGTTATCACCATGTAGATGATTTGGAATTGGTATGCTACACTGATGCTAACTTAGGTGGATGCATTGATGATAGAATGTCTACAAATGGATACATTTTCTTACTGTGTGGTGATGTTGTCTCATGGAGGAGCAAGAAACAAACTACAAGGGTAGTATCTACTATGGAGTCTGAATATATTGGTTGTTTTGAGGCAATGAAACAATGTAACTGGATCAAAAACTTAATTTATGAGATGAAGATTGTGAGAAGCATTGAAAGGCTAATCAAGCTTTACTGTGATAATACAGCTGCAGTATTCTTTGCTAAAAACAACAAGAGATCATAGGCATCAAGGCTTATGGATATTAAATACTTGAAATTTCAAGATAAAGTCAGAGAGGGTGTGATTGATATACAACATATCAGTACACATGACATGGTCACAGATCCATTGACAAAAGCATTAAATGTTACAGTCTTCAACAAGCATGTATTACGGATGGGATTGCATTCGGTTTTTTATGTTCGTTAAATGTGGGAGTAATATGCACAAGTATGTATTTAAGTTGCAAAAGCTGTTAATATGAATTCATATGTTATGTTAATGATGATTAATGCAATTGCAAATGTTTAAAGCAATTAAGATATCTGCAGTATATTGTGACCAAAAGAAATGTGGGAGTGCTTGATTTACAAGCAATTAAGTCCCAAAATTTTTTATTCTCTCGACTACAACAAGAATTTGCTGGAGCTTAATCAGTTTGTGGTTTTGAGGTATAAACATTGTATTCAATGTTGTGTGGCCTTAAAACTCGACAGATGAACTTGCAGTATATGGTTGTAAGAGTCACTTAATTTATACAATCTGTGATCACATTTCATTTTTATATTTTACAATTAAGAATGATGGTTTAATCTCACTCATGTGGGAGAATGTAAGAATGACTTATATGTGAGTGCCATTTAAACCACAATGCAGATATACAAGTGAAAGGGTTGTATTATGTAAGGACTCAATTATATGAATTACACCGAATTAATTCTATATTAGAGGGAAAACTAAAGGTGGTTATCAATTCAAATAAAAGGCAGTTGTAACCTACACAAACTGACAGCAACTGCATCTCTGATAGGGAGATACAGTTGCAGCATATAAAGTCGATTTTGGTCTCTCTTCTCAGGTACTACTTGTTCTCATATCGAATACCAGTCCTATTGAGAGTATTGAGATACTATTTCTGAATCCAAGAGAAGAGAAGACAAGATCATGGCTTCACTGTCTTCCACTCCAAGTAAATATACACATACTGCATTTAATATTGTCATGCATAGTTTTGATTATCATTTTAGGCACTGTCATATTGGTTTAGTTGTAATCGATCCTTATACATATACTTGTCTACAGGCCATGCAACCCCTTAGATGTGCTCGCCTAAGGCTTTGTAACAACAAGATTCCAAAGCGACGCCACACAGATCTGAGCATAGAAGGCATCGCTGCAATAGATCTGAGCACATAAGGCGCCGCTGCAACAAAAAAAGTCAAAAAGAGTATCACTAAACCAAATTAGTTTGACAAAAGTGGCTCTGACCTACCAACAACCCCAATCCAAAACCAAATCACAAATCAATCCCCAAATCAATGAAGGGACCTTGAGAAAGGTATAACCTGAATCTGGGTAGGAGACACGAAACCATGAGATAGCCAAGACAAAAACGGTGAATGGGAAAACGGGGAAAGAGAAGAGAAAAAGTGTAGAAAAAGTTGAGAGGTGAGGAAAAAAGAGGGCGGCAGAGAGGATAAGAGGAGAATGATGAGGGAAAAAAGGAATGAAATGAAAGTTAGGAGGAGATATGGATGGGCTACCACTGGCCCCAGGCCATAGTAAAGGGCCAGCGGCTATGACGACTACGAGTTAGGGTTTGTTAGGGGAGGAAAATGGGCTGGGTGAGAGAGCAACGAGAGAGAGAGAGATTCGTCCTTGTCTCTCCAATCGGGTGGTTGATAGTTGAAATTCTTATTTCATCTCATAAATATCACCATTGAATATAGTGCTTACTAATAATTATCGGACATCTTATCCAATGACATACCACTCTTTAACACTAATAATTTGCTCGTGTTAACGACCAATTTTATGGTGTATCCTGAACATGCACTACTACAAAAGTACCCATTAGTGTCTGTTTAAAAACCAACAATAAACGTATAATACCAGTCCTATTGAGAGTATTGAGAGTATCTGAGCCGGGTCTGGGTCGTCGGATTTGCTCGAATCCTGAAATTAAGCAAAATTCGAGCAAATCCGACGACCCAGACCCGGCTCAGATCTGGTAGGGGAACTGAGTGGAGAAGAAAAATGGGAGTTCTACCGACTTGAGAATGCCTTAATCGTACCTGAAAATTGGAAAATTGGGACGAAATTGGTAAGGAGGAGGCGAAGATCTGAAGGATTTAGCAAAATGGAAACCCTAAAAAATCATAAGGGAGAGCGCAGTCAAACTAGAGCTCGGCCTTGCGCTTGTCATCTTTGCTCTCATCCTTTATGAAATTGAAGAAGCGCGGAGCTGAGAACTCGTACGTATCGTCGATGATCATCCCCGTTGTCGTCGGAGCCAGCGCGTTGGGTTCTTGGTCGGTCATTTCCTTGTTTTTTTTACCTTGTTTTTTTGATCTGGAACCTTCACGCTTCTCGGATCTATGACATGCAGTGGTTATCTTCACCATCTCTCTCGGATGTTTTACAGATCCGAATCTCCTGCACAAAAGAAAAGCATGCATGGGTAATTTCTTCTTTTTGTTCTTGTGATTTACGTTTCAACAATAAAATCAAAGAAGAAAAGGGGAGAACCTTTACCTCTGAGAGAATGGAATCAGAAATCGCCAGTGCAAACCTCAGCTTTGAGGAAATCACCATGCCAGGGGGTGAGAAATGAGGATGATGATAGAGGAGGTCTGGGGCAATGCTAAATGACGCTAGGCTTGGATTTGGATTTTCATTAGTGGAGAGATAGAGACTGCAGCTGGGTATGTGTTTTTGGGGATTTCAGAGGAGGAATTGGAAAAATCTGGAAGAATAATGAAGAAGTGAATAGAGAATAATGAATAAACGAACGAGAGAGAGAGAGAGGGAGAGAGAGAGTCTGAGTGGGGGCAAAAATGGGGTATAAAACCGACATAAAAAAATGGGGGCAAAAATTCCCTCCCAAAATTTGAAGTTCTCTCCTCCAAAATTTTAAATTCCCCCCAAAATTTTGTTACGATTTAAAAAAATAAAATAATAATTATTTATTTTTTATCAATATAACATTTTAAAATATTAAAATTTTCATTTCTGTCGGTTATAAACGCCACCATTAACTTAAAAACCGCTAGCATCTGTAAAAAAATATTTAATAAAAGAATTCAAAAATACTGTCGGTTATAACCGACATTATTTTTTGATATCCGCCACTAAATATCCGCTAGGACTTTATGTCGGATATAACTGACATTATTTTTTTAATATCCGCCACTAATTAAATGATGTGTCGGATATAATTTATCCGACAGGATTTTCTAATATCCGCCACCATCTTCCGTCACCTAAAGCTAATATTGTAGTAGTGATGGGCAAATTTATGGTGTATCTTGAACACCATCGCATGGTGTCACAATTTCACACAAATGTTTTAGTTGCACAAATATTTATTGTATGTCAACAAATTTGTTAGTTTTATATGTTTGGGTAGTGTTACTCTTATTAACAATATAATTGATCTCTCTTATAGGTCAACTCTTCAGTTACTTCTTGTCGCAGGGAAAGTATTATGTTCTTTCCGTTGATGAGGGAATTAATAGTTGATTCCTTGTTAGAGATTATTGAGAATTTGAGATTGTATCTCGATTAAATGATGTCGTTGTGGTTGCTTATTTTCTTTAGAGGTCATAGATAGAGATCAATTATGTCCTCAATAAGTCATGCAGCCGTTGTTTGATTGTTCTTCTTTGAATATGATAGGGACTGCATCTCCAATAACCAATACCCAAAGTATCTAATTAGTCAAATTATAACAATATATTGTTGAAATTTTGAAACAAATTAATAATTAAAAAATTACGAAATTGGGTAACCTTAAGTTATCTTAAATATATAATTAACAACCTTCCGATCATGTTCAACTTCAACCTTTGTAGTTCAACCAACCACCCACCTTTTCACCAAAATATATGCATAATCTTCTATTACACCAATACAAAAGTCGGATTAATTATGTATGATTAGACGTATATGACTGGTTTCTTAGGAAATACATACCGGTTTTCTATTTCATGATCCACCTATTGTTTTACAGATTCTTGGTTAAATGGGATTAGATTAATGGCGGTCTGGCTTCAAATCGTGGTGCTGCTTATGAATTTATTTCAAGTTTTGGTTGTTTACTAGCTATGCTAGACTTTAGGGGTGGTTTGGAAGTGAGATGCTTAAAAAAAAAACACCCATGAAAAAAAAACTTTGAGGGTTTTAGGTGTATGGTAAACTGAAAAAAAAGAGCTTATTTTGGAAGCTGCTGTGAGAATAAGCTGAAATCAAAGGAAAAAGCTGAAGCTGCTATTTGCAGATTTGGAAAACTGGTTTTTTTTCAAAGCACACGGAGCTACAGTGCTCCTTTAATGAAAAGACCCACTATCAGACAACTTTTTTTTCCAAAAGCACTTTTACAAAAAAGTTTACAAAACACTCTGCTGATTTTTTTCACAGCCACTTATTCTCACAGTACAACCGCTTATTCTCACAGCAGTTTTTTTTCAAAACACAGCAATACCAAATCAGCCCTTAATGTTGTAGGGTTTTTTTAGTCGCTTTTGGAAAGCTTGTCCACTTTAGTTTAATTCTTTGAGTTTGTTATTTTTGCAGTAATGTTGAAATTTGTATTCAGTATATGTCGTTATTGTAGTATTAAAATTAATTATTAATGACTATCGTTCTTTCTTCGTAAGTGTTTGAATTGAAAAAACTTATAATAACGTCATCGTGCGCATGAGCGCAACTAATACCCAATTTCTAACTATATATATGGACCGTACAGTGTAATGGAATAATACTAAATGCTTTTGTTCTCTAACTTCTGCTTGCGTTGTAAAAAAAATTAAAAATGTCTGCGGGAGTCAAGCATGGTAAGCTTAAGTTCAACCTTTGTTTTATATGGGATTATTGACACTCCAAAATAGTCAACTTACGCTCTTCGTATAAATAAAATTAAGAAAGAAATAATACTACGAGAGAGTCCATAATAACCTTACTAGATGTCAATAAGAATTCCCTATTTTTGATCATCAAATCTTTATACTCTATATATATATATAGGAAATTGTTATTTGGCACTCCAAACTTTCTATAATTAGAAAGAAAAAAATACAATTGTGAGGAGTGTAGAATGAAATTATATATATAACCAAATTAGGAAATCAAACACGAGATGATCACAAAGTCACCCTACTCATTTGACTGATGTTGAGTAATTATTTTTGGAAAGTGGTATTCACACATCAATTTTTACTTTTCATACATTCTTTTTAATTTTCGGTCATTGATATTCTTCAATTCATTCGATTTGACGGTAAAAAATTAAGAGTGTGGGTAAGGTGACTGTAATCAAAACAATTCACTTGAATTTGATTCCTGTCTATATAAATAAGGCACTTTGAGTTTAATTCATACATTCACAAAAGTCGAATATACAGTAATTACTATATATTCATCCACTTGTTTTCATCTTTGACTCTCTAGATCTGATAGTCCCCAAAACGACCTAGAATAAAGAGATATTTTGATATGGATCCAAAGTAATTAAAAAGTAGACCTATTTCAAAAGTAAAAAATCATTAAAAATTGAACCTATTTAAAAAATAAGCCTTTAAAATTGGACCTATTTTAAATTTTCCCTAAAATAAATTGCATGCAAGAGGCAACAGACAGAAAGCCAGGGAGCTTCCTCACACCTAAAATTAATTGCATGCAAGAGTCAACATATTGATTGATACCTGAATCATGAGTTTGATAGAGTTTAATATATTAAATTCATGATTTCAATAAATTTATATCAAACTTAAATTTTGCGGCCCAATGTAAAAATGTGATTTATATACAAGTCCTATAAATTAGTGTACACTCATTTTTTTCAGACTTACTATGGAAGACCTGAATGAATAGGGTTTTTTTATTAGAAAACTAATTAAAAGATTTTGAAAACTTTGAGTTTTAATGATAAGGACAAAATAAAAGGTAAAATGAATAGTACCATGTTTGATTTTTTTAGTGTAAAAATGTGGTTTTTCGTTAAAGTGAACAGTACCGTGGGTTTTTCGTTAAAACTCATTTTTTTTAGGGTTTTTATCACAAATGGTCCCTGACATTGGCTTAACTCATCATTTTGGTCCCTGACATTCAAAATCAATAAATTTGGTCCCTAATATTCAATGCTACACATCAAAGTGGTCCTTCCGTTAATAATCTGTCAAATCCTCTGTTAAAAACGCATGTGATGAGCCACGTGACCATTGAATGGAGGACATTTTCGTAAAATTGCCTCACCCACTACTTGGGTTACTAGCCCCAGCTTTTTGATAATACCCTTTCCCCCTGATACATTTTCCTTCTGCTTAGAGAGAGAATCAGTTATACTTAGATTATTAGGACTCACGTGCAGACTCACTCAACCTTTTCCCTTTCTTGCTGAATTCGACGACAAACATTTGTGATTGTTTCCTTTCGAAAAGTTAAAATGAGGCATTTTCCCACTATAAAAAAAATGCCCAGCCAATAAATGTTTTGTGCAAAATGCTAATAGCATATCATTCCAAAAGAAATATACCATTTCAAAATGACATATGCTCAAACACATAAGATACAACATCTATTAATTTGCATGTTTCACTGTCAATAGCATATCGTTCTAAAAGAAATAACCATTGTTCATAACAACATACCCATTCAATTCCAAAAACATTAAACAACAACAACATCTCATGTTTTCGAATGCAAAAACAAAAAACCTTACATATTTAGATAGTTTTCGAAGACTTTAAAAACACAACTAAGCTGCCAATTTTTCACCAAATCCTTCAAGGCTTCCATGGCTTTCCTCTCTTTGCACCAAATCCTTGGGTTGACTGAACTTGTTGAATTGGTGGAATGGTGGGTTGTGAGCTTGAAATCATGCCTCTTTCTCTGCATGTACCTCTTCCCATGGCTCTTCCTCTAACCATTCCACTGCCCCTTCCCACCTACATACTCAAGATATCAATACACAACTTCACATTATAAAAATTGAAAATAAAAATGAATTATGCCACACCTTCCGCATCTTCCACATACCTTATTACAATTAAAAAAAATACAAAGATTTCTACTCTTCAAACTTCACACATACCTTTCTTGTTTGAGTTGATGTAGGCTTATTGTTAGTAGATTGAGTTACTCCTTGAGTGGATTGACTAGTAGATGCTTGATTTTGTTGCTTTCCACATGTCTTGGAAGTATGGCCTTCTTGCCCACATGACCTACATGCATATGGCTTGGTATAAATCCATCTTTTCAACTTCTTCCCTTCATGACTTGTAACTAGGGGCTCTTCACTAGGATCTTTAGCCCTATTTTTCTTTGGTCTTCCAGTTTGCTTCTTGTAAATGGGAGGATCAATTTTGGTGGTCTCATTACTAGGCTTGTCCCATTGATCTTGGCCAGGCAATGGTGAAATAACTGGTGCATAAGCCTTTAGGTATGTTGCTTTCTTGTAACAGTCATCAACATACAAGGCAACATCTTGTCCCTTCCTCAAAATACAGGCAATAGCATTAGGACATGGGATTCCACAAAGATCCCATCTCCTGCAAGAACAAGTTCTAGCAGCCAAGTCAACTGCGAACTCTCTTCCAGAAAGGTGTGAGACTTGATATTTCATATCTCCAGCTAGATATGCAATGCAATGCCCACTTTCATACTTCAATTTTTCAATAATTTTCTCAATTCTTGGCCCCACAGATTCTTTCCATTTCAAGGTAGCAACTCTTCTATTTGCCATCCTCACTGTCAGGTTCTTTCTTATGATTTACAACATTGTCAAAATTGGTTTGTCCCTTGCCTTGACAATTGATGCATTGAAAGCCTCACACAAGTTGTTAAGTAAGATGTCACATTTGTAATATGTCCTAAAATGTGACCTACTCCAATTATATGCTGGTTTAACATGTAACCAATCACAAGCATCTTTATTTTCTTGTTGTAGGTTATCCATGATGTCTTGCCACCAAGGAATGGTTGTAGCTCTTGCTGCTTCCCACAAAGTTTGTTTCAAGGCAAGACCACTGTATTTTTTCTTGAAGTTATTATACAAATGCCTCACACAATGCCTATGCTCTGCATTGGGCATTAGTCGTTGAATTGCATTCCCTAACCCCTTCTGCTTGTCTGTAATGAAAGCATATGTTGCTGAATTCTCCATACTCAAATCATCTATTAAAATCTCCAAAAACCACTCCCATGTACTCTGATTTTCAATTTCCACAACTGCATAAGCAATTGGGAACATCCCATTGTTGCCATCAATGCCTACTGCTGCCAAAATTTGCCCTGGATGCTGCCCTTTCACAAAATAACCGTCCAATCCTATAACAGGCCTGCATCCTTGCTTAAAACCAATCTTACATGCATCAAAACAAATGTACATTCTCTGAAATATGCGTATATCACCACGCATTTGTGTCTTTATGAACACTATTAAACCAGGATTAGTTTGCTTTAAAATAGCAGCATATTGCTCAAGTTTGTTGTATTGTTCCACCTAAGTTCCTCTATTTAGTTTCTCAGCCCTTTGCCTTGCCCGATAAATCTGTTGGGTGGTCACTTCTTGTCTGTAATCCTTTTGAATTGTAGGTCTAAATAATTCAATAGACCAATCAGGGTCAATCATCAATTCATTTGCATATCTCTCAGCTAGAAACTTAGAATTCAACCAAAAAACATTTTCATCCCTTGTACAAACGTGATTCATTTCAAAAGTTTTGATTTGGAAAGTTGTTGACTCATGTAATCTTGAACCATAAATCACAAACGGGCAACCCTTCATATAAATTGCTCTGATTCTCTCCTTGTCATTCTTCTTGAACCAAACATTCCGCCCATTTTTCACAGTGTAGTACACTATTGCCTCATTCAACTGTTGTTTATTAGGAAACAACATACCCATGCAAAAATCTGGATTCTTCAAATCTGTAGCTCTATGCCATTGTTTAAACTTTGGCATAGGTTTCTTCCTCTTTTTCTTGCTGGACACCTCAGCACCATCTTCTTCCTCAGAACTCTAATAAAGGTCCCCAGAAATGGCTTCATTGTCAGAAATTTCCCCAGCAAACCCCATCTCCTCAGGAACCTCTTCAATTGGGTTGTCGACATGTTTTTCGAACAAATCATCATCCAACTCATTCTCATGTACATGCTCATTTTCTTGCTTTGAATCTTGGTCATAATCACTATCTTTGATTATTTCCTCCTCATTTTCAACTTGTTCACTTTCATCTTCCTCAACATCTTCATCATCCCTATTTTTTCCCTGAGTGTATATAGTAAAATCTCCTTTTTCTCTTTGCTTTTCTATTGTCAATTCCCCAAGTTGCCAAAATTCATCAAATCCATCATCCCAATTCAAGGATTGTGCTATCTCAAACTCTTTCACCACATTACTTGAAGCAGTGCCCTTGTCACCTTCACTAATTGCCTTCTCATTCTTGTCAACCATATATAATTCAACTACCTTATTCTTTGGCATATCATCGATTAAATTTGTCAGTTGTGCATCACATACCATTTCTTCAAATATACCCACTTGCAACTTTTTATAGTGGCTCAACTTCACCTTGTACCCCAATTCCTTTGCTATGTTATGACACTCAACCAAGGACTGGCAGTCACCAAAAACCCAATCTAAGTATATAATTTCACCTCCACTGTAATGTTCCTTATTTCCCTTCTTGAGAATTTGACCCCCATGATAAATTTTATATGTGAATTTATCAGGATTAGCTGCAAAATATTGTTTAATACATTAGTAAATCCAATGGTCAATTCGTTTTTGAACCTCTAAATAGAAGTCAATTATTTTTGCCACATTTTACAGTCAAAACCCTAAGTCCATGTCATACAATCAAGACTAAAACAATAAAAATACACAACAACAACCATTCCAATGTCATTGAATAACTCCAAATTAGTAAAGCTATGCAACCTTTAATACAAAATGACAAAAGAAAGGGAACAAGACCACAACAATACATATATTCATCACCTACCCTAACCCCACACCATCTCAAACTACACAAACCCCACCACCAGATATCAAAGGTATGAAGAAGGGCTATTGGAACCATCAAAAGTATAAAAAAAAATCATGGAAAGAAGATACAAAATACTCACCATATTTTGGAGGCTTTCCAGATTTGCGAAATTTCTCCGACATGCTTATAGGTCACTAAAATTTTCTCACAATCCACAGAAGTTCAATGATCCTTCACGAAATTTAGAATTTTAGAGTCCTAATCTAGTAGAACTTAATCTCTCGCCAAAATCCCCATTGTCAAGCCCTAGCCTATTCATATCTCTCTAAACAAAGAAGGAAAAGGTATCAGAGGGAAAAGGTAGCGAAAAGGTGGGGCTAGCGACCCAAGTAGTGGGTGAGGCAATTTTACGAAAATGTCCTCCATTCAAGGGTCACGTGGGTCAACACATGCGTTTTTAACGGAGGATTTGACAGATTATTAACGGAAGGACCACTTTGATGTGTAGCATCGAATGTCAGGGACCAAATTTATTGATTTCGAATGTCAGGGACCAAAATGATGAGTTAAGTCAATGTCAGGGACTATTTGTGATAAAAACCCTTTTTTTTATTCACACCCCATAATTTGTTGAAAACACCCCACAATTAAATTTTCTCCCTGTAATTCCAACTTTATCCTTCATTTTGTTGAATTCACCCCACCTCTCAAATACAAAATCTCACATAGCCACCCACCCTTCTCTGGTGATTCCATTCAACCCAGCCAAAACACAAAATTGAAATTTCATGCAGCTATACACTTTATAAATCTAAACTAGCTTATCAGGAAAAGATAAAAATTTTATCGCAACATCCAAACAGTCTATCATAGAAATAATGGAAAGGGGTTTTTAATAGTTTTCTAGGATGCATTTTCATCTATAATCACAGTAGCCCAATGCATATATGATCATTCCCCTCAATCCTATGTCAAATGCCAAACAAAAGCATAACTACGAAAGAAAGAAAATTAAGATTGAATGGGGTCATCCGCAATGTTGTGGTTATGGTTATAGGGTGGGTAGCTGTGGGATTTTATTGTTTGTGAGAGGTAAGGTGGATTCAACAAAATGAAGAGTAAAATTGGAACTGTAAGAAGAAATTTTGAATGTGGGATGTTTTCAATAAATTGTGGAGTTTAAATAAAACAACCCTAATGAATATTACTAAATATTTTAAGTAAGATATTCGAAGATTTGCTAATTATATGTATATTTTCACGCTTGATGAGAAGACTTTTGGTGATGATGCACAGTTTAACACATTTGATTTGTCTTTTTTACAAAGAGAAGCATATATCAAAGACGAATACCAGCTGCCTTTTTCATTTGTCTTTTCGTACTTCTCTATTCATTGTCATTTGTCTTTTCATACTTCTTTATTCATTGTGTGACATAGCATCCACCGTCACTTGAAGTTAAGAATTTAAAGTGTCTAAAAATTGACTACTCTTTTTTCATACATACCTCTCATAATTAGATTTTTTTTTTAACTCTTTTTTATCCTTTATCTTTTTATTCGTAATTTCCTTGGTTCAATCATTGTATTCTACTCACTTGTCCGCGCCAACAAGAGTTTAGAAAGCCGAGTTGGGAGGAGCATATTGGGACTTTCTTTAGAGCAACTCTACTATTGGAGCCCTCCCCTAGACAATCTATTATTCAATCCATCCTGTGAACATTAACTGCCTTAATGAACAGTAATTGCCTTTTGCATCTCCACCGTTGCACTTGAATAGCCCTGACAATAGACAATAAAATATTATTAATTTTTTTTTACAAAATAATACTAAATAAATTTATTTTTAATTTCGGATAAGATATTTTAAATCGTTCTCGTTGCGTCACGTGTCATTTACCCAAAACGACTATTATTGGTCATAGATTTCGATAAGATTTTTATCCAATGTTATCGTGCCACGTGTCGTTATCTTTTCAGAATCTTTGAGGATAGATTTCGATCAGATTTTAAATCGTTCTCGTTGCGCCACGTGTCATTATTTGAAAAGATAATTATTGGTAATGGATTTCGATAAGATTTTTATCAAATGCCATTGTGCCACGTGTTGTTATCTTTTCAGAATCTTTTAGGATAGATTTCGATCAGATTTTTAACGAATGATGACATGCCATGTGGCACTATCTACAACCTAATCATTTCAGAATCCTTCATATAATCCATCATCCATCCTTTTAAATCTCACACCAATTTTCTCAATATCTCTATCATTATTCATAGTTTCTGCTTCCTTCTTCACCAAATCAAAATCTGTATCATTATTCATAGTTTCTACTTACAATGTCTTCTTCTTCAAGCATGATATGGGAAATCGATCAAGAAGAGGAAGAATTATTTAACCAATCTGAATGAATGTTCAATCTCCATATAGCCCAAAATGAAAAGGAAGAGGATGAGGAGCGGAGAATGAGAGATGACGAAGCAAGGATGGCCAGAGACTCACATTCCCGTCGAGTCATCCCAGCTGTGGCTCAGATATACAGGCCCACCCGTTCCGGAAACCTTGATAAAAGCAGGCAACAACGAGGTGTGGAGCTGTTGGATGATTATTTTGTCTATAATAGTGCATTTCCTGATACGTACTTCAGACGTCGTTTTAGAATGGAACGACATTTGTTCAACAAAATGATTGCTGTTTGCAACCATGATTCTTACTTTGTGCAAAAGAAGGATGCTTGTTCTGCTATGGGTCT